TACTAATTTTCTAATTAATGCCTTCATTAATAACATTAATGTAAAGAAAAATAAAAAAGGCTCTAGCATTGACCCATTAGAGACTCCACAAATAACAAGAGTCCACTTTACCTGGACTCCACTACTAATAACTATTTGCTTTCTTCTATCCTCAAAAAGAAAGGGAGGATAACATATAACAGAGCATAGCAAATTTGCAATCCTCAATACACAGAAAAAGAACTTTGACTCATCCACCATACCTTTGAGGCCAAAGGATAACCTAATAAATTCACCAATCACTAAGAATTAAATGTTCTCAATAAACAGCTGTTGAACCAACCATCACCATTTCTCTCTCTCTCATTCATAAAGGGCCTCAGCTACAAACTCAAGAAAATTTGCCGGAAATTAAATATTAATCTTCAAATCCAGCAAGACACTCAAGGATCTCACCACCATGATATAACAGCTGGTGACTAGTAAAATTAGCATGCAGTCTACAATGTACTCTGCAGTTGCAAGGAAACATATATTGGAAGAACCATTAAATAAAAATGAAAAGAACATGAAGACACAATATGACTTCAACATCCAGAGAAATCAGCCATGGCTGGACAGGCACCCAGCACAAGGTATCATAACAAAAACAAAAGGTAAATTATAAAACAATAGACAATGAAGAACACTGGAAACTGCCAATTAAAGAAGCACTAAGTATAACAAATATGTATACTAAACATTAAAAAGTCCAAGAACTGGATACCACCAACATCTGGAACCATATTTTATAATAAAAATGAAAAAGAAACACATTTATCCTGATCAGAACTCAACAGTATTTGAGATCCTTCTCAGGGCTGTGCTACCACAGTTCTAGACTCGCCTACTAATTTGGTTAAAAACTAGGATTGAACCAATATTTTCACAGTCAATCATGTATCAACATGCTTTTACTTTTTAAGCTTTCTCTCTGACTGTACTACTAAGTATTGTCCATGTATATACAGAACCCTTCTTAAACTTAAGTTAAAGATTTAAGTAATTTCTCAGACCAGACAAAGATCTCACTACAGAATGAAACATAGTCTCCTAAAATTAAATTAAGTATCTGTAAGGTTTCTATATAAATTGAAATTATTGAATAAAAAAATTAATTGTTACTTTACATTTGATTAACCTAAGCCTGAGTTTGTTCATGCTTACAAGTTACATATGATTTATATTTATAATACTTTTCTATTAGTATCAGTTCTAATTTAATCTCTAGTTCTACCCCTTTAACTTTAAATTTAATTTAAACCATTTTTCATTTTCTTATCTTTAATTTGAAATCCTTTAAATATGCGTGAAGATTTTCTTAATATGCAATGTAACTTAAAATTAAATTAAATTGTATTATTCGCCAATCTCAAATTGTAACTTATTGCAAAATCTTAAACATGAGTAGGCCCTACCCTTCCTCCTAACTTCAGTTGAAGTTCTCGTCTTCATTAGAATTGGAAAACCATTGCATGATTAGTCTTGCATAACATTTCCTTTTCAAAATTTACCAAAAATGCGTATTTCCACAGAATTGTTTCATATTAATACTATAATAGGAGAAAGGCTGAATTATCTATGTCAAAATAATTTCTTACCTTGTGGTCAAACAAACAAAGTAAGAAAACAATAAAATCATTGATAAGTGTATTTATACACCAACAAGAGGAATTTAACGTCCACAGTCTGTTAAAGTTAAAGCTATTTCAAAAGTCAAAACGGTATTTAATTTTTATCATGAAAATATATCGTAATTACGACTGAAAAGCATTTTATATTTCATTTTAACTTTTATTTCTACCATGCGCAAATTAAACAACAAAAACTAAGCTTCTAATCATAAAATGCACTTATCAATGCAAAAATAAAAAAAGGAGTTATATGCATAAATAAATATTTATTGTCAATATATTTTTTACTGGCTCAATATTTTAAACGCTTTTTGTGAATCTAACCTGTAATAATTGATTAAATAAATTTCTAGTTTAAGACGGTGTAATAAATAGCTCAATATCTTATCCTTTATTTAAAAGAGCTTATTTTACAACAGTTGTTATTGATGTATGTGTTTTTAAGTATTCGGCGTGAGATAATCCAGCTTGACGAAGATTAGATCAAATGATGGAAGGTTAAGACATGGAAAATACAAAGCAAAGCTTCAGTTAATACAATTTTATTTCATAAAGGTTACTTGGCTAATGAAGTTAGTTGCCATCAGCTTCGGTAGCCTCCAGGCTTCAATGACTCAGTGGTAAGTATGAAGGCTTATAACGCTAAAAACCGGGTGGACCAAGCACATCAGGGATGGAGCGAATACTGGAGATCAGTAATCGAATACTAATACTTTACATTTTTATGAATACGAATACAGGAAAATTGTTAAGTATTTGAATGCGAATACACACTAATATATTCATAATTACTTTGTAAGGTAGTATGCAAGCCCCCAGTAGCACAGCGGTATGTCTGTGGACTTATAGTGCTAGAAGCCGGGTTTCGATACCCGTGGTGGGCAGAGCACAGATAGGCCTTTGTGTAGCTTTGTGCTTAATAACAAACAACAAGAGTAACATGCAATAATGATAAAACAGCAGACGATAATATTTCAATACTTTTATTTTATGAAACAAACTTTTTAGAAACTGAAACAAAATTAGAACCAACAATAACATTTCAATGCGTTTATTTTTCAAAATGTAATACTAAAGTTTTAGGACAAAAACATATTTTCAAAAGATACTTATAGGCATTATAACTGTCCATTGTTTTTTATGAACATCAGTCTCTCAAATATCTTGTCAGTGTGGCGGTAGCGATAAGGTCTGAAGGTTTTGCCTCCGAAGCTAAATAAACGCTCAACGGGGCTAGAGGATGCTGGAACACTCAAGTAGCGTTTGGCTAGTAGGAATAGAGTAGGAAAGCTTTATTCATGGATCTTTCAATAATCTGGAGGGTTGCTTTCTTCAGGAATGTAAGGATCATCGAGGTAGGTGTTGATCTCTATACACTCAACAATTATCATATAGTATAATCATGGAATATCTAAATATATATGCAGGCTTTTTCTCTGTCAATCAATTCTGCTATGTACGAAATTGTGTATTTTTCCATATACAGGCTTGATCTTTGTTTTCTTCAGTGGATGATTTTGGTGCTTCTCATGTATATCCAGAAACAAAAGTACTGCCTTTTATTCTCATAACATATTTATACATGTTTAAAGTAGTTTCATTGGATGTTATGAATATGATGCTTCCAATAGTGACAATGATGTTGTTGGTGCCCTAGCCATCGTTAACAGCTTGGCAAAGTGTAGACCAAGAGTTGGTGGTGGATAGAATTAACTAGCTGCCGTTCTTCTAGTCTATAACTTTAAAATTATAATGACTAGCGCAGATAGACCTCGAGTAGCTTTGCACGAAATTCAACAACAAAACATACATCATTCACTGTTTATAATAATTGTAATCGAGCGGACAACTAAAAATAAAAAATAAAGACATACTATTAGGAAATTCCACTGAATATCCCAGAAAATAATAGGCACAACTCCCGTTTGATTTTATAACCATCCTATATATAGCGATCCCCCATCCAGATCCATAGAGACTCAAAGGTTGATGTCGATGCTCAGGCAGCAGCTCTTTCTCTAACTTTTTCAAACATTCTAAGAAAGTTCAGATTCATCCTCTGACTTTTTCAAACAGTCAAAGAAAGTTCAGCATCATATTCTTCTGCTTCTTTCACCAGATCAGGACAGCATTCAACACCACTCTCATAATTGTTTGCAGCTTCAAATTGTTCACTCTCTGCTTCCTGGTCAAACCAGTATTTCAAAGTCACCCTAGAAATGTGCAATTCTAGCTTTAAACGTGTTCTACGTTTTTCATGCAGGCAATGCTATCATTGAATTAGGAAGTTTGGTGGATTGAGCCATAATAGTCCAAGATAATGACCAGTTTTATCAGATTTTAGTGGATTATACCAGAGCTACACCCAACTTTTTTGAATGAACAGGTGTTTTTTCACCGTATCATCATAGATCATCTACTATCTATTAACTGATTTCTGCAATCACTTTGTTGAAATGCAAACTCGTGTTTATAAATTGATGTAGATTGTAATATTGTAACTGGTAAGCATATTACTGCGAACATTCTGGCAACTCTGCATGCAATGGGAAAGTATACATAAGATATTTCAGCAATACAGCTTCTCGTCCAAACATTTTAAGGTTTGGAAAACATTAGTAGACTGCTGCTTTGTTGCATGGTATGCTAACGTTACATATGACACATGGTCGTTCCAATCAGTTTCACTTGCTCTCACAGTCTTATAAAATACATGTTTTACTGTTTAGATGATCCAGTGCGCTAAACTATTTGACTGAAAATGATTAGGTGAAGTACGAGTCTTCATAACATCCAGTATTTTACATAACTCGATAAGCATATGGCTGTCAAATGTTGCCCATTGCTCAGTATGTACGTTCCCTGACACTGTGAAGCAAGCTTTTTACCCGTTTACCTAATTTGTTAGCGAATATACGAGCCCATGTATCAGCCCAGTTAGTGAAATAATTGATTAACACCAAGTTGTAATGATTATCATGCTCATTTTCTGGGAGGGGTCCAACAACTACCAGGAGTATTCTCTGTAATGGAGAAGTTACGTCTCACTGTCAGTTTACTTTTATATAGAAAATTATTTCTCTCATCCACAAAGCCAGTACAATGCAGTGTTTACATTATCCTATACATCTCTGAACTGTAGTGTGTGACAGACACTTCTTGGTCTATTGCAATCCATGCATCATGTAATTTTTGGAAAATATCAGATCTCAGAGACTTCAGAACTACTTCATCCTAGGTTAGACACCATGCTTGTAGTGTATCGTGTACCTCCAGTTGTTCAAACAATTGCTAGGAGTTATGTTTTATTCTAAATTTACCAGTAAGTGACTGCCACGCGTCACCTTGCTGCATGTCAAGTAAAACCCAAGCTGAGTCTTGGTCTTTTAATTTCTATTATTTAAACATATATTTTGTTATAGTTGATATCCACTTAGCAGAATGCTTAATATTTGCATGGGCTGTTATCACAGCTGAGACATTAGGTTTCTCAACAGCATTATACCTATAATTTAGACACTACAGAAAATAGTTCTACTCTCATCTGCCGTTGAAAAAGTCAATGTGCATTTCCATGCTGTTGACTCAGTGGTATTGCAGAGTGAACTTATAATCTTGCAACATTGTAATCCAACATACGATCATACCTTCTGTTTCTCTAAACTATATAGCCCATCCCTGATGTGTGCATGATTCATTTGACTGTAAATTACCTATCTCTTATATTGTGGCAAAAGTACATCACAAATTCTACAACTCAAGCCCTTTGTTCTTTGTTATATAGTAATGGTATTTGGTGAATGTTGATGCTTGGCTAGCATAAGCTATAACATACTACACACTGTCTTGTACTTCCAATATCACTATTTCAATTACATTGTCTCTGAAAAAACACCTATTTGTCGATAAATTTAAACAATAAACAAAGAACATATAGTCTACTTGTCTTAAAATAATATATTAAAACAAATAAAACATACACACAAATGTTCGTTACACTGTTGGTTATCACAATTGTATCCAGAGCTTTAAATAACTGTCTCTTTTTCGTCAAAGTTCACACAGGCTGGTTCAGTACTTTAGAACACAATTTGACAAGACAAACTATTTCTTTCTTATGTTGTGGTTTGTTGGCACCTCTCAATGTTTGTCACATGCTCCAATCACTACTTGCACTGTTTACCAATTTGCTAATTTGAGCTGACCATCAATCATGCACTGTTTAATAATGGTGATCGCAATTCCTTCTTGTAGTGAAGCTGATGAGTTATATATATTTTGTTCATATGGCAGCAGCATCCATAGTAACAGTCACTATTTTCTTGTTTCTTGCCAGCACCATCTTTGTAGGTACCTCCACCTGCTTTATGTTGAGATTTCTGCTATTGCTTGTTGGTGACAGATTTGCACTCACTGGCAATATACCCTATTTTATAACAAGCATAGCATCCCTTCTTCCTTTTGTCTATTAACCTCTTGTCACCTTTGGTGGAATTCTGCTTCTGGTCAGCCACTCCTGGTTTCGACTTTAACTTATTATTCTTGGGCTTGTCTGTTATACTCCCTCCATGGACTCCCATTTACTGTTCTGCCAGCTTCATCATCTCGTCCACATCCTTCAATTCTCTCTCTTTTAGGAATAGTGACATGTCAGTGGAGCACGTGATCATATTCTCTTCGTATATTACTAGATCTGCCATTCCTTCATGTCAGTCCACCTTGTGAAGTATCACTGTAGGTATGTCACAAACTGAAATACAGTTTCTCCAGTGTCTGGTTTGACTTCTCTGAACTTCCAGCAAAAAACTTCCTCAGTAAGTTTATAGCATTTTAGCAAAGCCACTTTTAACTTGTCATAGTACATGGCACATTCAGACGTCATGCCCTATACACTTGTTAGACCTTTTTCTGTGAGAAGAGGGCTGAGACAGAGTGCCCAGTTCTGATTTTGGGCAAAATTTTCATACCTCACCATGAAAGCATCCATGTCATCTTTTTGTTCATCAAATGTGGGAGCTTGGGTCGGCTGATCTTGACCCCATTGTCATTTTTGGATCCTCCATCTTTCTGTTGGGTGAGCTTGGCAATCTCAATTTGTACTCTTATTCTCTCTCTCTTTTCTTACCCCTCTCCTTTTATTTTTCTTTCTCTGTATTCTTATTCTCTCTTCTTTGT